ACTCAGTGAGCCACAAGCATTCGCACCAGTGCTAATCAGATGTTCTCCTTGTAGAATTCCTGATGTTTTTGGACAGCGGTTGTTGGATGTGTTTCTGGTCAGCAGATGATTGGACTTGTTTGTTTGGTGTTTGCAATCTTAGTTGAGTATGTGAGCAAGCGCATGCATAATCATACATCCAACCACATCGCTCAAAATAAATTGTTGGTTGGGAAGCCCCTCAAAGCTAGTCTGTCTTGCTTTATTTTTAAAGTAAGTCATATTGCTTTATTATCAGATGAACAGTTAACTTTGCATTAAACCTAATGAGTGAATGTCATTGACTTATAGCATTGACTGCCACTGAACATTTGAATAATGTACTTGACATTTACGACACTCAACTGGAAGACTGATTTTTAAAATTTTTATTTTAATTACTTTCTATTCAAATTAGGTTGACTTTAATTCATTTTACTTTTTAAACCAATTTTAAACTACTGACATTTCTGATATTCCATGGTTTAATTTAAATGTTATTATTTTGTAATTCTTTATTGATTATTTTAATTTGTACATTTTTTATTTAATTTAGATTTTTTTTTTATTGAGATTGGTAGTTTGATTGATTATATAAGCACATGATTGCTTTTTTAATGTCATAAAAATACATTAGATGTCTTTTAATATATCATATATTTCTCTTATACAGCAATAAGATTAAGTGGAGAACACACTTCTTGCTTTAGGTTCCTGCTTCTTATTTTCTTTCTTTACAGAGAAAGATTTGTCATGATAGCACAGTTTGAAATAAAAATGAAATTAAAGATTTTTCATCAATTTCCTGAGATCTCTTTTTCATACAATAATGTGAATAAGTGGAGAAGAAATTAAAACTTACCTAAGACTTTTTTCCCTCAGATGTATGTTTTTTTAAAAATTTTTTTACATTAGTTGTACAGCTCTACAATATACTGTAATTGTGTGTCAATTGTTTCATTTGTTTCTATTTATATTTCTCCTAAGGTGCCTTAGGAGAAACATCTGAGACATTTGAGACTTTCATTGAAGTTGAAACTTCACTAAAACATAACTATGAATTACATTAAGTTTCATAAGCTTTAAAAGAGCAATGAAATGTGGGCCAGTTCTAACAACCTCAGGAGCACTATAGATATGTCAGTGGCCTTAACTTTATTTAATATCTAGATGCCAGACGGTCTGGTTCTCCTAGGCTCTCTGAAACCACCCTCTAATTTCCCCTAACCATCTCTCCCCTTTTCCCTGTCTGAACGTCCCATACAGAAGGAAAAGCTCTTCTGTAGTCTCTCATTATGCTTGGTTTCCTGCCCACTGTGTGGACCGCAGTACCCTCATCTGCATAATTCCTCCCTTGGTACTTTTCAATGATATGTGAGCTAATCAGACCCACAGAGAAGCGTGGACCCTGGTGTGGTCCGGCTGAAGCCTTGATGATATTTACTGATGGGCTGCTGTCTCAGAACTGGATCTGCTATTAGCAGTGCTTTGCTAAGGCTATTATTGTTGCTTGTACTTGTGGTTAAAGATTTGAACAAATTGCTAACACTGGTGTGTAACTTGAATGACAGTTGTTGGTGACTTTTGCCCAATTTATGAATGAATGAATGAATGCAAATAAATAAATAAATTTGACTTTTGCACATTTGGATTTAAGACATAAAATTAATATTTTTGGGGCATATTTTACAGGTGTGAATTTAAATTCTATACCTATGACATTTAACAAAATTGAATTGTTTTGAGACATTTTGTAGATTTTATAAAAAATAGTTTATATAAATGTGTTTCAGCTAAATGTTTGTTTATTTGCAAAATGTATATGCCTTTTATAACAACAGATTTTCTAGGCTTCAGACCTTCAAATTCAAATTTTTAAAATTCAAAATTTTAGAAATTCAAATAGTACATAAACTGCACAGGAGACACCATTTTTATATTTTTATACCTCTATATTTTAAATTAATATTTCATATTCTATATTTTTTAGGCTTCAGAACTTCACATTCAAATAGCTAAAATTCAAATGTTCAGTCATTCTAATTTTACAAAAAAACTGCATGAGAGACACCATATTTTTATGTTTTTTTTTATTTTTATTTTTTTATACCTCTATTTTTATAGCTTCTTATGAGAATTGTTTGGTTTGACTTTGACCAATTTAGGGAAAACAAATATTTTTACAAGTTGTGGTCTTTTTCCGCCTCTTCCTTAGAGAAAAAACAACAGATTAGAGTTGTTTGCACGAGGTAACTGTATAATTATAGATTTTTACTGGTTTTACATGGACACTGTTGGATTGTTGCTGGCACAAACTGTTTAATATGATTATTGCTGCAGGTATCAAGCAATATTATTAATTTATGGTCTTGACATGTCATTTAAACACGTTTCCAACTTGATCCAATATTAGGTATTTTCAGCAAAGTGGGTACATTTTGGATCTATTCGGAATCAGAAGTAGTATGTTCTTCGTATGTGTGGTTTCAAAGAGAAAGTGTGTTCCTCTTTCCTCTTTCCTGCAGACTGGCAGCTGTGTCCTTCCACACAATCTTTCAACATTATCTTTGGTAATTTGCAGTCTGGTTGCACTGTTCACATATTTCTTTCTCTCCGCACGTGTTCATTTGTGTCCAGCTAAGTTCGTTCATGTGACTTAATTAAACCCCTTTCATAATTCAGGGCCTTTAAGCTGAACTAAAAATGAGAAATTGCTATCAAAAAAGAGGTGTGTTAAAGTGTACTGATTAATACGGTAACTCATTTTCTTTATAATTCCCCTGCCCTCTCCTGCCTTCAAAAATAATTAACCGACTGATGGTGGACTCAACAAATGGCCTTGATTTTTAAAGCCATTAAGATGAACAAATCAAATTGCTGTTGTTGTGTTTATGTGGGTTGTCTGGGCCCACTGCTATTGGAACTAGTACATCACCTTCTCCTTAAATCAATAAAGCCAGAAAATGAGAAAGCAGGGTGTGTGTCTGAAAATAAGCGGGCAGCCGGGGCTTTGGGGTGCATGGGGAACATCCTTCTAATGTGCCCATGTAGACATGTCAGCTAGCATTAGCATAAGGTTTGGTTTAATTAGCCATCAGGGGAGGAAGGGCGTTTTGGATTGGTTTGTGTGGATCAGGGCCATTTGAATCTGAGGGAGCACCAGGTTTTTGTTTGTGTGTCCTCCAGGGCATCTGGGCACACCACCTGTTAATGAGTTGTGAAGTGTTCTTTCTAAACCCACCATAAAGCCATATTCTGCAGTCAGTAGTCAGTGCAGTTTTGGAGCTAGAATATTCAAGGTCTCCATGTCTACATTGATTCCCCTTGGGGATATACAATATTTGTATTTTTTTATAAGTTTTCTAGCTTTTGTTTTGGAGGTCTTTTTGAAGTTGTATACAGATTATCCCGAATATTTGATGTATAGATGTAAATGTTTATTTTAAGCTTATAAATTTGTGTGTAGTTGTCGTGTAGAATTTTGTGAATGTTGACTATTCCAGTTCTTTGGAATTCTGTGGGTTGAGCAAATTGTGTAGAGATAGTTTTGTTTGTCAAGCATGTATAAATTGATTGATTAAAAGCTGTAAATATGTCTATGCTTGTAGACCTGGTATTAAAATCTTATTTATTGAGTCATTTGCATTGCATCACAAAGAACTTGGGTTTTGGGGTTTGAACAGAAAAGCTAATGGTATGGTGAAGTCAATATAGTGTCTATACACAAACAGACAGACTCAAGTAAATGTGTGAGTTCTATGTGTTTGTATGCTTGGTGTTAAATGTTCATAAACTGTCCTTTAACATTGCTAAAAGTGTACAAATGTGTAAAATGTGCAAACATGTATTTTGACTGCTTGAATGCTTCCAACACAAGCTTGCCAAAAGTCTCATGATGGTCACGACCTTGAGATTCTGTGAATGGACTCAGCGAGGTGTTTGTTGAGATACTGCCATCTCAGCATAACGCAGGCTAAAAGTGGCATTTCACTAAATGCATCAACAGAAGTGCTAGCTAGTGTGGCCCAAGTCATAAAACAGACATTAGAATTCTCCTGAAAATCATTCAAGCACTCAATTATGACGTTAAAATGTTGAAACAGTAGCACTGTTTGTTAGAGAGCTCTAGCGACAGCGTGAACGGAAGGACAGACAGTGGTCACACTTCCCCGAGCTCTAAGTGCTCTCCAATGACTTCCTTTTGTTTTGCCTGTCTGCCGTTTTATCTCCGTAAATGATGCCAATCTTCATTCACGGCCATGACGGTCCTGACAGGATGCTTCCCAGTCATCTGGCCCATTCTGACCCCCTTTATATTAAACAGGCCCCTTCACCTCCCCTCATCCCAAATTAACCCCCTGTCAGTGCCCAACAATGGAAGTGGGCATGGCTCCAGTCTGATTTATCCCACACTTCGCCATGATGGGGGGCATCTGCCACACCCCCTGCCCGGTCCTCCCTTTCTAAACCAGGCGTAGAGGAGAGCTGTCAGTACATCTTCCAGAAAAGCGACATGCGCTGATTGGGGAATTAGTTTAGTCAATGACTGTATGTAGAGCTAAATAGGGTGTGTGTCAGTGACTTTGAGTGTATTTGCAGTTGGGTCGGCCTAGTTCTGCCCATGCGCTGCAAGAGGGCACACATTGTCACTCCTCAGAAATACACATAGACGATCAGGGCTAACTGCACCTCTTTAGGCCTGTGAAGAGAAGGAAAACGCCATATTTAGGACTTGCACTCTTGGGATTCTCCAATGGATTAATGGCTAACAATTGATTAACACCTCGGAGCTTGAAGTTTGAAGTGCTTTCTTGACATGATAATGCAGTTTGGAGGTTGCAATTGCAGACCTTTCAAAAGTCGCTGTCTGCAGAGCCTAGTACTGCTCATCTTTTGGTATCAGGGATACTGGGGCGCTACCATGTTGCCGTTGGCCCAATATTCTTTGCTTGAGGTCTCAGAGTCTGTGTTACTTTCAACAGACACGGGGACTCAGGAGGGGACTAGCAATAGGGCCACAGAGGCCCCCACTGCAGAACACGATGACGACAACTCTCTGGGCTATACAGGTACTGCTTCTTATTTCTTACCTAAAAATACTGCTTTGTATTTACCATGGAAGAGCTTCTCTCAAATATCTCATTTAAATAACATATTTTGTAGGTGTTATTTCATCTCTTCCATGAACTTTTGACATTTTTGTAAGATAAATGAGGGGTTGCCTGGTGATAACATGAAGTTTTTATGTAGATATGACCCATTTCTGATCCAAACATTGCAGGTTCTTCTGTAGATTCTCTCATTCCGCTTGGGTTTTCATGAACTTTGCACAACCTTCGCCTTAAGTCTGTCGGTGCATCTGTATTGAGTGACATTTTTCCATTTATAATCTGTTTATATTCTTTACAAATGTTACTTAAGTCAAGCTGTGGAAATTGCACACCCTTTCTATGTTATTTTCGGGAGATAAGCCTGGAACGTTCTGATGCTTATGACCCAAAGGTGTAGAGTCAGCCAGAACCTCAATTTCCAGATTAAATGCACTCAGATGAGATGAGTCAATCGGTGAGAGAAGATCCCTGACCCTTTTTGCTTAAGTGGAAATAGAGTTCACCTTCTAGGGGCCCTGGGGGCCAGAGAAGAGAATCTCCTGCAGTGTGTGTGGTGTTATGTTTGGAGAAAGCTTGCTAACATTCTGACCTTCACTAGAGAAACAATTCGATAAGTGAAAAGGCGGCTTTGGCTTCGTGGGTGATCCAGTGGAAGATGAGAATAGCTGGTATAGAGCATAGAGAATGACACTACAGCCTCAAGAGAGCACTCTGTTTCACAATCTCACAAGGACAGAGATACTGCCTGCCTGACTGTGGTAGAAAAAAGGTACATTTAGAGTATTGTTGTGGACATTTTTTTTAACAGCTGTATGTGTTACTAAGCGTGAAAGTTCCGAAAACTGAAGCTGTAGAACTAATAGAACGTGATGACACAGAAGAACTCGTCCACAATATCCACATTGACTGCCACAAATATCCACCGCCCCCTGCCATCAGCTCCCGCGTCTCACACACACGAGCGCGACTTTAGCACTAGATTTAGCAACTTTCAGACCCTTTTAGTGGCTTTTTTCCATAGAATATTCATACTGACAAACCTAGCGACTTATTTGGATAAACCTTAGCTATGGTTCAGTTGGAAGATTTCGCCAGTGCTGTCCCGCGAACGCGAGGTCTGACTTTCCCGGAGAAGTGTCACCTCTCTCGGCGTCTGTTCTGTGCAGTGAGCGGCAGAGAAGCAGCGCATTCAGTTGGCCGCACCGCAGCCGACTCGTCAATAAATTAGTACAAAACAGCGTTTCCAAGCACCTGTCGCTTACTGATTGTTTGGAATTATAAATATGAGTGTAGTTCATCTGTTAATATCTGTAAAATAGATCACATGCACTTTTTTGTTTGTTGTTTTTTTTAAGTTTGTTACTCAGACGCAGGCAGTGCGCTGCATGAGACAAAAAAGTAATATAGCCAAAACAACCGCATAGCCGCTCTTTAGTGTAGATGCATGTTGATTAGATCAAGCAATGCCGCGATTATAAATGAGAGTGACTTCTGGTTAACATTAAAAGGGGTCGTGTTTAGTCACTATTTAGTGTGGTATTTTTTGACAATATTCACTCATCATGACAGTAAAATAGGGCATTCTAAGTCAACATACTGCAGTATTTCCTCTCTCAGTCAGTAGAAAATATGGTTAACACCCGGTCATGCATGAAAAAAAAAATACCGTCATGTACCGTGAAACCGGTATAATTTTGAAAAATACCGTGATATAAATTTTTGGTCATACCGCCCAGCACTACTCTTACCCTTATTGACGATTGAATCTTTGAAATAGAATGGAAAGCAATGTATTGGGTGGTATGATAAAGCATTCAATCTGTTTGTGATATGTAGTCTTCATGCATCTTGTTGCAACAATGCTGCACATACTGTCATGCTGCGTAATACTTGTCTGTGGTGGTTCCAAATGCACCTGGTTGTCTGGGAGTGACAGTCTGAGACTGAATTAGTCCCGTCTCCTGTGCATCCTCATTATGGGGTCCTGCTCAGGCCTTAGAGTCCTGACCTTGAAGGCCCCACAATCATTAGTATGACTGCCTTCCTAATGCCTTGCATTATTAGGGCCATGGTTTCTGCCTCAAGGACGTGCAAATGCAAATCTCCCACACGTTCAGGGTTAAATTTTTCCACTCTTCGTGGAACACAAGCACTCTTACAATGGAACTTATCCACAAAGCATATTCCCCACAAAGCGTTTGCTTCTCCTCAGGGTGGAAAACATGGAAAATTCGGGTCCTTCCTTTAGGTCCGATCCCACTTGAGATGTAATTACCTCCACAGCAGTCAACCAGAGGGTTTTCTCCACAAGAGGAGAGGATGTGGGCTCTTATATGAATTTTTCCCCATCCAATCTCTTTTCATCACAAATCCTGAAGCTTAAATCACCCCGTGTCCCAGGAAATAGGGCCATCAGGCTAAACTCTCAATGCTGAACCAGGCTAATTCTGTCAAGAGTGACTGGAGTGCTGCGGAGAATGAAAGGAGCAGACTAGTTGGCGATAAGAAGCTGGTTGTGTTGAGGTTCTCATTATTCTGCAACACGTCTGTTTGGCACGGGATAAAGAATTTAAATGTGTTTATTATTGCAGCTGAGATTAGTATGGGTGAAGGAATACAAAATTGTCTCGTCGTTGCCAAGTGCTAGCTAAGCGCCATTTGGTACACAAAATTAAACGGCTTTCAAAATTCCAAAGTAGTAGTCATTTTTAAGCTTGAGTCGTAAATGGCATGCGCTTTCCTGAAGGAAAAAAAAGACGAGATGGAAAAAGAAAGTTCAACGACCCCCTTTTTGTGTTGAGTCTGGCGGTCCATATGGTCTCCTCATGACTGTCAAATGAGTTTGCACACGATTGGCAAATTTGAAGGGAAAAAAAAACACCTTGGTTCCAAACCAGCATATTCAGAAATGCTGACATGTAGCTTAGAAAAATTCTGATGCACATCCGACTAGCCATTCGGTAGCAATGCTATATTTAAAATGCAATTTCCACAGAAATGACAACCTCCATCAGTTTATTTGAATATGGCAGAAAATCACCCCAAAAACAGTACTTTAAAACTCTCCAAACTTCCCAAACAAGGGGGTGGCTGGAGAACTTTCAGCAGTGCCAGTTGCCACAGGCAAAGTTATGAAAGTGCATCCAAACAATTGCACATTTTACATTTACACTGTATTTCTCCCACATGCTGTTTTGCCATGGAGGAGTGAATGTGTTCAGTCATCACAAGCTGGACTCTCTGCTCGCTGGGGCATGAGAGTACGTAGAGGGTGAAAGTTCTCGCTGAGTGTCATAAATCTGCATGGCACCTGCTCCCGCGCACTCCTTCGCCGTGTGTTGTGAGGTCAGTGGCACCACATAAGCTGTACATCATATTTATAGTGCTCATCATGGCAACCTGCATGTTTTGGCAGCTGACAGCAGCAGGGAGACAGAAAGAACCCTTGCGTTGTTTCTGTCGGAGGAAGGACATGCTTTTAACTGCAGAGGACATGAGAGAGGGAATGTAAGAAGTTTGGGAGGTTGAACGTTGGAGCATGTGGGAAGCAGAGTGAGGTGAAAAGTAACTTTTTTGGCCATTACTGCAGAGATCCGTCTCACATGTGAGTTCCAGGTGTTAGACCATGTCAAACATGTTGTAAATCCACCCGTTTGTGGTGCAGATAAATCCACTTCAGAGAAATATATGAATTCACACACGCAGTAGCAGATGTTTTTGTACGCCAATGTGATTTGGAAAGTAAATGCTCAAGAATATGGCAGCTTCCCCGTAAATCAGAACGAAGCACTGTGTGCATTCCTGAATAAATCAAAACAAATTTGAAATGCAGGGTTTTCAATATATTTGTTTCTCCATTTGGGTCATTCTAACCAGTCAAAAGCCATATTAGCTCCACTCTGTTAGAATGAAATTTTTAGACTCCATTTGAGACTCAATTTTCTGGTGCTGAATTAAATACTGCATCTTGGCTTCTTGGGTTTTTGCAAGCTGGAGAATGGGTGGAGGCAACTGTCGAGCATCACACCTTTGCAAAGGCCAACCAAATTATAGATGCACAACTCTTGTGCGTTGAAGTGTGATGACATTCTTCCTTTTGTCTCAAAGATTGGCAGTTAATTCCACTTTTTTTGTTGGTGCTGTAAGACCCTGTGTTTGTATCAAGGGTAATAAGGGAGCAATCAGCAAAAGTGCCACTTGTTCTTTCTGCATAGTCATGTTTTAATCATTACGTCAGGATACATAAGCCTTGATTGAGGAATATCCAGTTGTCCTTGCTGCAGTGTAGTAAAACGTTCCCCATGTTTGTTCCCGCTCCTGCTCTGCGGGGTTGCGTTAATAATTCAGCGGGACTGCTGGTGAGGGTCTTGTCCAACAGCTTGCGAGGCACCGATTGGTCGAATCCCCCGTTGTGAAGGTGGGGAGGGCACATGGAAGCCAAAGACAAAGGCACTACTTGGCTCAGTTTCTCTTAGACAGCTTCTCCTTTCATTTAAGCCTCTCCAACCAGTAAACCAATTAAGCCAATTAAGCATGAAAACACAATGCATCTTGTTCTTGCCAGTCCCCTCTCTGAATGGAAAAACAGAAACAGATTTGTTCAGCTCCCCCCCCAACCCATCCACCCCATGTCTGAAAGCACAACACAGGGTTTGTAATGAATGAAGAGAATGTCCTTTTATGCTGTTTTTGTGCAATTCTAGTCCTCCATTCTTTGTGCGCTTTCTTGTCGGATGTATTTTAGCATTTTATTGTTTGCCCGAGAAATGTGTAGCTCTGTTGTGCCTCACCTAAAACTTTTTTTTGTCCTTTAAAAGATTTCAGCATTGATTAAAAGCATTTTTTTTTGTTGTTAAACTTTTTTCGGTTGATGTTTTAATGTGAATCTGCTGTTGAACCGTATCCTGGTTGCAGCCCAGATGGCCCTCCACAAAGGCATTCTTTCCCAGTGACAACAC